GTAAGCCAATGACACGCTCCTTGACGAGGCTGGTCCAAGCAAGGCAGGCACGTAAGCTACTGCTATCAAGATCAAGGAAAACAGCTCCAAAATCAGAGTCAAGCTCACTGGTGGACCCGTCGAGCAAAACGATTTTTTGGTTGCAAGAGAATGTAACCCGTTGCTCCCGACCTCCCAATATGCCATTGCGGATGGATGTGCTACTTTAAACGTCAGCTTACTTCTCGGGACTGAAGGGGTCAATCAAGCTCTGGACTCTATTACCCATCTCTCGATATGTTGTTCATATGTAATGACGAGGGGGTATTTTGAGGTCACATAAAGAGAGAGAGAGAGCTCCAAAACGAAGAATCTCTCGAACAGTCAGAAAACCAATGAGACCGTCCTTCTTATCCTTGCAATATACGAGTCTTGGCGAAAGGCGCAATGCCTACAACACACAAGACATAGCTTGCAAGTGCATCGAAGAGAATTATATCTTTGCTATCAGACAGCCCAACAAGAGCTAAAAGCTCGCCTTGTGATGAAACTGACAACATGGCCTCTAACAGGAGATCCAGATGTGTGTGGAGACAAGTTTGCAGACATTCGGTCTTGCGCATTAAGAAGATATAATAGCACAAAGACGCAAGAGAGAAGAAATGAAGAGGTGAAATTGGACTTCGTTGAGAATGAGCAACAATCCGGTCGATATCACACAAACACTTTTCGCAATGGAATAGCCACTTTGATTCACTAGTCAGTTGGAAACATCTAGTATGCGGTACCCAGTATGTCTGAGAGCAAACGTGATGGCCATTTGTGATAAGTTCTGGTCGTTTGATTCTTATACACTGTTTTCCAGATTGCTTGATAGGTTGTATTCATGATTTCGAGAGTCTATATACCTGGTATCAACAGAGATATGGACAGGAAGGTATGAGAGATGTATATGTAGCTTGCTGTTCCAACGGCAAACCGAACAGCCTCCTAGTCTTGACTTTCTGGAGTACCTCGGAAGATCTGGTACCGCATACCTGTTGATACTTGCGTATCCTGCAATTTATGCTCGTATATCGTTGTAAGTAAGGCTCAAAGGACGTGCAATTTGGATTGATGAGACGTTCCCAACACGCACGAGCGTGGTGGTATGTTTACAGGCTAGTAAGAGTATGCCAATGTTTGGGATAGGGTTATAGCTATTTGAAAAAAAAAAAAAGCCACTTGATCTTGCCTAACATGTGGCACAGCACTTGCGGATATTGTGGGATTCTTGGAATGGCTGACATGCAGGAGTTTCTATCTATCTTGCGGTGTTGGGCATATATTCTTCCGAGTGGAGGCGCTACAGCCCTTTGTCGATGTAGGTATTCGAGAGGGTATCGATGGCTCCTGCCGTAAACACATACTGACGTACTGTGACCACGATATGAATAGTAGCTATCTAGGCCAGTTTTCTGTACTTGTGCTGGGGCCGTCTCGAAATATGGCTTTTGAACCAACGGCCAAAGGCATTGATTTTTTCCCCCACTTGGAGAGTTCGGTGGTTCTTGGATTCCGCATACGTGGATACACGGAACCGAACGTGATGTTACGAAGGGTATAAGGTATCACTCAAATGTGGGAGAGGGCGAAATCTAGACATTATATGTCCAGAACTCATTAGTGATGCTCAACACATGATGTGATGGCCCGGCAGCTCTGCTGCTCCCTCGTGATAAGGTAGATAGTAAGTTTTTTATTGATTCAATCGTGTCAAGATAATTGGCTTGTGTCATCCTCGCTTGCACGTTACCGGTGTTCGCGACATCTTCCTCTCCAAGTGCGATGCTGTGGTCTCAACAAGGAAATTCCATGAAGTGACTTCCACCAGCATCATCCTCCTGTTGATCTCTCGTGTTGAATGGTTGGGTGCAACGATACTGTTACTTCATATTGTAACATTCGAATCATACCCGCGCTAGATGTGGGCTTGTTCCAGGTAGTTCGAGTTTGGAGTGTGCTTGCATAGATGTATCTCGCTGACAATGTCTCTGATAATACAGCAGAGCTTCTGCAAAGCTTGTCTCGTGAGCTCCATGACGGTCTCTCTCCAGCAATATCCATTTCAGGACGAGACTTAGGAGCCCGTATCCTCAGGGCTGGCCGTGATGGAATGAAAAAAATTGGGGGTTCGCTTTCTGATAGATGTTTTGTTTCTAAGTTTTCTTACTGTTGTCACTGTTAGTCCCGATATCTACAGATGCTCGCTCTCAGAATACTTACCCGACGCGACTGTCCAAGCCTGCTTGGTCAGAGATGCTCGACTAACAGTCTGGAATCGAGAGCCTGCCTCTATGTTGCTCACATAAGCATAATCTGCAAAAGTCTGCGCGAGACTAAGACTGGCGAAGGCTAGGATCAACGCCCACAGCTCGAAGTGAGCTTGCATCTTATGCATTTCGTAAAAAATGCAGACCAACAATTCCCAGAGAATGCTAGGTATGCGATACCGCCAATGTGGGAACAGTGATCAGACACTCACTTATCTATCTGTTGTGCGGGGCAAAGCTGCAGCTATGATAGGGACTAGAGGTGCAGATATGGAGGTCCGAGCGTTCATTCAATACCGTAATATTACAGCTGGCGTAAGCGAGATCCATAGAGTCATGGATACCCCATGTCTGCGGGTCATCTCGAGAGAAGAAGGTCTGTGGAGTGTCAGTTAACACTGTTCAAGACCGCCAGACTGATTTACTATGATTTCGGCATCCCTTGTAAGGTAGGTAACATGGGGACATTCTTTGACGGTAATCAGATTCTGGGGCACACTTGGCTTACATAGCATTAATCACCCTTTTGTGATTGTAACAAGCGTATGGATCGAGTACAGGCATCCGTGTGGTGATCAAGAGTCGAGGACTACCTCTGCAGACATTGCTAGATGTCTCTCAGGTCATTCACCCTTGATGTTTCTTGAGGCGTTGCATGCCAGTATCGGCATCAGGGGGCGGAAAAAGACCCTCTGCTATGACGATTCCACGTTTCGAGATTTCGGGAACTGGTCTCTCTGATAATGCGGTGCTATACAACTACCTCAAGCCCTTGGTATGCTTCAAGTCATTGCTAAAATTGGTTACCGATTTTTTCTTCCATACTTCTGTCATTCTTACCTCATCTGGTCGATTCTGCTTGGTAGAAGTCCGTTGGTGAGATCGTCATCATTCAAGTGACCGCACTTCTAAGCTAGAGTTTCAGCGTGATCGGAAGGTCTCGCATACGTTATCATTCACAGTTTCCTTCAAAAGCAGCGTGGAGACAAGCAACACAATCTTCCTATCTTTCTCCAACTTAGTGCTGATTCCAGTATCTTTGCAGACAGCTTCCATCTCCCCGTAGTGCATCTTTCGAGATGACACGAAGTCAAACAATAGTCTTGCAGCAGGACAACATCACGAAGTTGCAAAGCGTATTGGACTCGTTACTTCACACGGAAAATCAGCTTGAGAAAGAGTACCTACTTCAACAGATGCCACAGCTGCTGTCTGAGATATTACTAAGTTGCGGATCGCTTGAATGGTTCTGTGATGCGCTAGCCTCGTATGGTCCGCGAAGATCCCGAAAATCGTCGAATCGAGGAAGAGCAACTCCTCGAATACCCGGTGCAGCGAAGATCAATCACATCATCTCTTTGTACGACACACATGAAGACGATAAACCTACACCAAGCTCCACAAGCGTGGGAGCCTGCGACTCGGACACCCATCTTAGGTTTTGCGGTCCAACCCCGGGGAGCGAAGAAGAAGAGTTCTCCAGAAGAAGCCTAAGACGAGATCTTCACCTCGGATTTCTTGCCAGACAAGAAAATATCAGCTTGATGAAACATGACCCTGAATCATTCCTGGAAAAACTCCGCCCAGCAGATATGGATCGGCTTGGAGGCAGTGAATTGGAGAAATTGCTCAAATATCAATCTGCCAACAAGTTATCTGATGAGTCTCTCTTTCGATATTATGATGGCGCGATATCTCTGGAGAATTCGAATTTGGCAATAACGCTATTTGGGGGAGGAACATCTGGGGAATCAAGCATACAAATCGATACGAACAAGACCGATCTACTGCGTGTACTGGATGTCCTGCAGCAGACTTCAGAGCAAGCTGCAGGGGCCGATATCAGGTCTCGATACTATAAGGTGGCATTGTACTATCAGATCGAGGAGGCCAAAGAACGACTGGGACAAGATGGCAAATCTACATCGGGCGTCGGTTTCTTGACTGTGGCCATAAGTGAATGGACCAAAAACACACAAAATCCCAAGCAAGCTGAAAGGCGGGTCCGATCTTGGAAACGTGACGGAGAGAGATGGAAACTTCTTTGCGACAAATTTAGCGCAGGCATACTCGAAGTGTCTCATAAGGCTCTCAGTGCATGGTAAGTAATCGCGATACTTGTCAACGTCATTGATATGGCTGAAGTTATATTAGCATAAGCGAGTCAAGCCACCATTACTTGGACGTCTTGCTTGAATTCTGTCCAAGCATGAGAAACAGATGCGAAGTCTGGTTGAAAAAGGTGGAAAAGCGCCTGGAAGAACCCACTATGAACGCCCTTATGCTTAAGGAGCGGCTCGATCTAAAGGATAAAACTGGGAAAAGAGATCACACGCCTGCTGTTGCAGAAGTAAAAACGATCGAACATCTTCGCACAACGCACAGACCCGGAGCTTCCTCCGAACAAGATCTTGAGATTTGTGAAAGTGCGTCAAGACTGTTTAATACATTAGCCCAGCTCGCCACGTGCGGCCCCGAGATTAGAGTCCTCAAGATCGAAGATGCGGAAGAGAAGGTAGGAGAGGAAGAGAACAGCGTAGCGCAAGGATCGTACCGACGATCAGACATTGACATTGAGCAAGAGAATGCAGAGCTTGCTGCCAAGGCCGAACAATTGTGCAGAGAGCGGATTGCTGCAGCAGAATTGGGCCAAAAGAAGGTCGTCTACATCCTTCCTTATCAAAATGCTGGAGTTTGGCATTGCGTACTCAGGACGTCCGACTTTGTTTTGGTTATCTCTGTTTCCGGAAACAGAAAGATGAAGGTGGTTGAGCGTCCTTGATAAACCAACTGTGGATTCCGGCTGACTGAGTTCCAGGCTGTACATAAAGATCTCCGCTCAAACATGGTCACTGGAAAGAGAGACGATGTAAGCACGTCCCAGATCGTCTTACTTCTTCCATAGGTATATGCTAACTAGAAGTCCAGATTGTTCAGCGAGAGAATTTCATCCCCATAGTTCGAGTTTGGGGAGAAGTATTGTGGTATATTCTTCGGTATTGTTGCAATAGATGCCAATGTTACAATTGTAAGCATTACTACGGAGCCATCGAACTGCTGGATCCTTGCTGGTGGACGAACTATGCTTCCTGTGTTCTACAAGCGGTACGTACAGTTGCACACCTGTCGTGCTCGCTGCAATCATCATGCTGATGACATAAGCTACCAGAACTCTCCAAAGAGGAAACGGTTGAGTCACGATGAGGTTCCTAGCCTAGAACATGACCAGCCTCACAGGAAGAAGTCAAGAACTTGATAGTATTACCGGAGTCTGTCATTGGAGAGACATCAAGCCTATATATCAAGATGGTCTGAGCAAGGGTACAGGATCAATTCATGTTCACGACGTCACACTTGTTCTTTATCACCACCACGAGATCTTACGAGCCGTTTATTGTGGCACAGTATCGAAATGAGGGAACCAAGGTATTGTCATCACGCCCCAATTCAATTGCAAATAGTACTAAAGACACGGAGCTCGACGAGCTCAGAATTGTCGTCAAATCATGAGATTTGCATATCCGGTTATCCACCTGCTTTCCTGAGCCACAGCATTTAGCATGGTGATTGCAACCCTGAACAGTCGCAGATCTGCTTCGATTGGAGTGTAAGGCTTGTATGGTGGATATCTTGCTACCTCAGCCGAAGACTAGGCTCGGCTGGTCAACTCGAAGCAACATTCCATCTGCTCGCTTGATCGATAGCATGTCAGAAGTCATGCCGGTATCGGCGAACATGTGACAGAGGCGTGCAGACTGCGAGACCTTGGGTACGCTCGATGCATGCATCAACTCTAGAAGATCGGAGATGTCTTCTACATGAGAGGACTGATCAATATAATTCGTCGCCTCGTATTCGATATTCAACATCACTCCACATGTCCTTAAATTGGTCATCACCTCTTGCAGGAGCCTCAAATCTCTGTCTTGCTCAAGCATCCGTCGTTGAGCCTTGCAGATCGATCTATATAGACTCCATTGGTTCAACTTCCGCATAATGTTTGCTGCGTGAGGCTCGCTGTCATGCCACGAGGATGCAATAAAATCTCGGTGAAGTCTTTTGAGCCTAGCTGAGTCCATGTGGTTTAAATGATATAACGGTATCTGGTAGAACCGAATGGTCATCAATCGTATCCCTTTGATGAGACAATGGCACCGTGTTTTACGTGCGAGGCAGTGCAGACCTCCTTCTGAGAACCGCACCCGGAGAGCGTGGAAATAAGTGATCGTTATATAGTTCCGTATGCCTGCCTCGGTGCTTGAACATACAAGACGGAGTCTCAACACATCGCTAAGCGACAAACGGGAGGCGATCGCCTGCAAAACTTCATTTGGGCATCTCTCTAACATCGCCATGGCTTGAGATTCAGAGAATAGTGAGAGTATCGCAATATAAAGCTTCCAGAAAGAGCTGAGGAGATGGAGAGCTCAGATTATTGAGACGATCAGACCAGATGTATTTTCGTGTCCATCCGCAATGGCTCAGCTATATGTCGTACTGGAACTCACCTTGTAGAAAATGGAAATGCACTGACTGACTACTTCACCAGATACTCATCAGAGACTGTTTTGTATGTGTAACTATTAAGGATTCAATGTTACGTTCCCTATTGTCGGACGTGTAACTTTGGTTTCTCAATGCTCGTTGTAGCATCCGGTTATTGATAATCAGACTAGTCACGCTACTTTTTCGTCCCATGCATCACCAGCAGGTAACCATATTGGTGGATCATCAGCACAAGGAATGCAAGCAGACCGAAGTGCCCAAGTTACTTCGTGCTGCGAGCGTGAACCAGCCTCCGAGATCTTCCGCGTATTGTCGATAAGGTTGCTGTAAGTTAATCATTGGATGGAGTGACGGCCGAACGACAGACAAGATTGATCCTTCGTTCTGTCCTAACTGGACTTTCGATTTTACCGTACGTATCGTAGACGGTTGCGACACAGGTATTCAGATAATTCAGTCCGCTAGCTCGTCCTGGAATAGTTCTGGAGCATCGTTGATCTATTGCGGGTCCGCTTACAAGCCCCGCAAATGGTTCGTAAATTACGAAGATGTATGGCGTGGCTCTCGTAAAACGACAGTGACCCCCGCAATGCGGAGAACACAATCAATGGAGTCTACAATAACCTCTTTGCTCACTCGCGCGCTCTCAGTCGATGATGGCTGGTTCTTCATCCAACAAACATCCAACAGTAGTGCTTGCCACACAAGATTTCAACTCATCAACTGATCCAGGATGAACTCTAGTGAGACACTGCCAGAGGAACATCCCATGGTTACCGAGAATCCTGTCAGTCCCACCGAGACTCTCCCTAGATACGAGCCTGGAAACGAGAGCGATGTCAGCGGAACAGGAGCACTTGCGAAATTACTGCCGGAAAAGTGCTCAACAGCTACTGCCGGTATTCTACACACGTTCGTGTGGACTGAAAACAGCTTCGCGATCACGAATGTCATACTTGCTTCTCTTGGTCCACTCAAGTATCATCTATCCTTTCGTGATGCCTTCCTATGTGGCTTTGCTGGTTTGACAATGGGATCTTTCTCCGTGGCGTTCATCTCCACCTTTGCTCCCAAACACAGGCGACGAGCCCTCAACGGCCATGTAGTAGGCAGAGTACCTGCTAGAATTCTGGCTTCCCTCAACTGCGCCACAACCCTCGGCGTCCTGATCGTCGAGCTCATAGCGGCTGGCCAGATTTTGTCTGCCATTGTAGCTCTGGCAGTGTTTCCGACTTCTATCGCGATTGTGACGTCCGCTTGTATCACCGGAGTTGTGTTGATACTCGGCGTCAAAAAGACATACCCCAAGTATGCACTCTGCGCGCAGATCGTGGCTGTCTTCATCCTTAGTAGCGTGGCAACATCTCAACCTGTACATCCAACAACGGCAGTATCACTTTCTTTGGTGGGAGCAAAGGATGAGCTCTCACTTGGTCACCGGATCTCTTTCTTCAATCTCTGCCTGGCGAGAGCCATACTTTACTCACCTTTCGCAACATCAATCGGCAAGTACGATGGGAAGAGCAACAGGAGTGATCTCATCTTTCTGCAGACTCTGATCGGCATGTTGTTAAGCTTTGCTTTCACCTTCGTCGTCGGTGCTGGCCTGGGTGCAAAAGCGGATACGATAGCAACATGGCGGCAGGCCTACGAAGGATCGATAGGTACGCTCATCGCAGAGGTATTACATCCAACGGGCATGATGCTCAAGATCTCCTGTGGTATAGTGCTGGTGCTTGGTGTCATGATAAACATGATAAGGTCAATGTACAGCATGCTCGCCGACTTGTACGATCTTTCTTCTCGCCTTGAATCCGTACCGATGCCCATATATCCAACGATGATCATGCCGATATGTGTCATGTTCGCTGTACTGGGTCGCAATCATCTGGCGGATATCATGATATCGGTATACTCGATCACTGGATATCTTACCAGTATCTGGTTCGGCGTCCTCCTCACCGAATACGTCCTGTTCAACAAATGGATGGGTTACAACAACAAGTGGCTACTAAAAGAGGACGAGCGACAGTTTCCTCTCGGTTTTGCGTCTTCGGCAACGTTTCTACTGAGCTGTACCGTTGTCGTGCTGTGTATGACACAGACATGGTACATCGGTCCGATAGGCTTCTTCTTCAAGAGTTCTGGACTAGACGTAAGTTATTGTCTCTTGACTACATATACACTACTGACTTTCCCTGCACCAGCTCGCGATCTTGGTCGGATTCACAGCCTCTGTCATCTTTTATCTGATTCTCCGTTATGTCGAGTTGAGGTTCATAGAACGACATCGTTCCAGTGTCGCTGAGGGTTCCAGCTGATGTGTGTTATTTTGCCGGGCATCGAGTATCGAGTATTGTTGTGTTCTAGGTTTATCTCATCTCGATGCTTCTAAACGTGAGCTCATGAGGGATAGTCCTATAGAGCCGCTGTGCTGGCTTTCGCCAGAAAGGCGATCTGATAAAGTTTTACGAAAGACCGAATCTGCCAACAGCCGGCTGGAATTGAGGTCGAACACGAAAAGTAGCAAAAAGAACGCCGTTAGTCTGTCTGTCATGAGATGTGGTAAAATCGCACTGATGAGATGATCAGCTCATGACCTCATGTTGCATCGTTCCACGCGTGATGGATAGAGATATTTCGAGGGCGGCCATCGATATTAACGATGTCGCACGGATTCGTCAAAGTAGCTGAACACTAATCATCAATGCATCGAACCATGTTGTTCACCAGCTTACCGAAGAGGGCCAAAATCATGAAACCGAAAGAAGTCTTAGAAAGAGCTTTTACGTTCTTGGCCCATCGCAAAATTCCTAGAACACCTTCCGATGTGATAAGACAGTGGAAAGCCTGTGAACACATGGATCAACAGGCGATTGATGTCTTGAATATCGTGAACAACCACCCATACAAGTCTTCTCAGATGTTGATCGGGATCCGCTTGGGCCGTATGATCCACGAAGTCCAGGAGTTGGAGCCGCACGTCAAACTTTACGCTAAATGGGCGAACGAGTTATCCTGGAATGTGGACGATCAGACTACTGATCTGGCCGAACGAGTTCGAAAAATCAACCTCTTAGAAGGCACAGAACTGATCCAGGACAAGCTTCAAGCCGCGATCTCAGCCCTGCATCTTGAGAGCGTAGAGAATTCTGACAAGCTCAAATCATTCAGAGAGGCACCTGGCTTACTGGAGGACATAATCTCGACGCTCGAGCTATTGAAGGATTCATGTACTTGTGGGGGTAGCTTCAACGAGGAGAGACTTCTCGAGAGCGTGTCTCACATCGAGGACTTAGTGAACCGAGCGACAAGTCCTTATCAGCACGGCAATCTGTCAAGGTCATGTCTCACAGTTGAGCTTTCTAAACGGAAGATTGAGGGCAGCGAGGAAGGCATCGACTACATAGGTGTTCTCCCCGCGGCAGACTTGATCCTCGAGCGTTGCGAAGTTTTCCCTACTCTATCCCACGATCTAAGACAACTCACTAAGGAGATTGTTTTCGATCGCATCGTCAGGAGCTTGCAAACAGAGACAGTAGCGTATCTACAACGGTGTATAGAGTCGGAGCTCGCTCTCGCTCTATCTCGTGACTTGCTGACGAGTAAGGGCAGCGCTCGAAGGCCATAAGCTTATGATATCAACTTCTATACGATTCACAAAGTCCTACAGATCTTGCCCTCGTTTTGCAGCCGTCTTGGTTCTCGTCAGTGTGTGAGAGTCTTTCTAAAATAAGCACTAAACGACCTTGACATCAGAGAAGCCGAGTTCACCTTGCATGAAGTAGTCATATCATGAAGGTTCGACTCTAAGCAGTATGACAAAATTGTGGTCTTGACCGTCTGGTCCCAGCAAGATGTTATGTATGAACAAGATGCTCAAGCATTAGGTTTTTTGCAGCAAAGAGAAGTGGAGATACACGGTTGTGTGTACATGTAGACTGCCAATTTGTTATGGATCTATTTGTTGTGAGTTCCCGATCAGCGTTGTCTCAGTTCTTGAGAATATGTACTCAGGGAAATGGCTTGGAAAAGGTGTCGCTTGCACTTTGAGAGCCGCTCACGCAACAGCCTCTCTTTGATGTAGAGAACCTTCCCGACACTAGAGTGTACAGACAGAGAAAGCGACTATGTTGTTTGTGTAGCCTCTTAAGATGAGAAACGATCGTTGTTTCCACGATCGAGAGGCTGCCGGTCTTGGTTCAACATCGGCGTTAGTGGCTCGAATCGGCGGCTGCTATATGGCATTGCGTGGCTGTAAACCTGGGTAAATCGAGCTTGCGACCGCGACTAGGGCCGGCGGTCTGACTAATGAGAACATCGCAGCGCGTTCCTTAGTAGATTGAAGAAGCGAGCGAGAAGAACATACGGCGGGTCGTTTGATTAGTATACTCGTAAACTTGTAAATTACGACCTGTTTACAGTACCACCCAACCAATCATCCTACGCTTAGCGACCGGCATAATCGCTGGCGATCTAGACTTGATAGGGGTCTTGCAAACTGAGCTTAGAATTTCTGCGGGGATGAGCTTCCAGGAAGACCCTGGAAGCATGGTTTAAAGGGGACGGCCTCCTGTTTCCAGCTGTCTGAACTTCTTATAGCCCGGAATCTAAATACATCGTTACGCATCTTGCCCAACATCCAGTCCACAACCACAACGCCCGGCCTTCGCTTCAATCTCCGTCACTCGGTATCCAAGGAATGGCATTGGATCTTAGCGTTCTCCACTCGGTGACCCACTTTCTGGATTCTTTATCCGCGTCACCAGCCTCGTATGACAGCAAGATATCTGGATTTCGGCATCTGCGAGCCTATTTGTGGGTATATGGCAATCTTGCCATGTCACAGCTTCTCTTCTCAGGTCTTGAGCTTCTTGTAAAGAGAAGGGAACTTCTGCAAGATTTCTGCAAAGTGTGGAATCTACAAATGGCATGCTTCATCGCAAGAGCCAACTGGTCTGTCTTCAATGGTAATTGTGAACAGAACAGAGAGTGTTTGAAGTGTGCTGGCGGATCTATGCAGGTTGTCACTGCTCTCGAGGCGCAGCAGCTTCTTGAGATGGTACGAGCATTGTCGGACGCTCTTGAACTCGCTGGCCCTGTGGTGCATCTAGCAGACATGGCGGTAACTAGCAAAGGTGACAATCCTCTTTGCTGAGGCGTCATTGCTTTGTACAGAATCGCTCCTCAACCATACCCATGGAACACCTGTATGTGGCGTACCGTACATATGCTCGTTATTGATAAGCTGTCTGCCTGCGCTGGGCTATGTACCGATACTCCACAGGCGCCAGGTGGCATGCAATTGAGTAAATCTTGTCATCCGGCGATAACCAGTCATGAGGGTGGTTGAGTGGCTCGTGGACTGGAAAATGATAATATGCGTAACATGTCTAACTCACCATGACAGATTATTAGACCGTGTCACTCAATACGCGATTGGTTGTTCCAGCCCCCACATTGTGTCGATGGCATAACTGTATAGGTCTTCTGAACTTTGATCACAACCTAGCTTGGTTGAGACAGTAATCGGCTATACCATACGGTGATTTGCATGCGAGGGTCATACAGTGCTGCATCAACGACACAAAGATCAAAGAGAAATTGAGTATTCCTCATGCGCGAGGTGCAAGGCCCACAACGAGCTGGTGAATAACGTGAGAACCAAATGATGGTGTGATCACGGAAGTCCACAAAGGTCAAGGATCACATACCGTTCCACTATCTCATTTTGATATATATCCGTGAGAGCTTCTCCCACCATATCTGATGCAAGCTGGATTGTTGATTGAAAGCTCGAGATCATGGGCTGGATTCGCAACGCGTCACCAGAGGTTGTTGGTCAGTCAAGATATCTGATGGTGATATCAGTCTGCGCGGTGTCTGTTCCACTGATGACACTGATTGTCATTCTGCGAGGATATCATTGTCTACGGATGAACAAGAACGGCCGACTGAGCTACTACCATCTTTGCTTGTATACAGTATGTGAATGTGATCTTATGAGCAATGCTAGCTGAGACTCATCACATGCAGGCCTTTGCTGTCGTATATATCGTCCTCGCGATCATCCAGACTCGACTTGGTCTGGGATTGCCATTTGATCTTCTCCCAAAAGCCAACTTGGAGCTGTATACTCTTGTATGTAGATTGAGACACAGTCTCTATCCATTCTTCCGAGCACTCACTCTTCCAGCTTGGTTATGTGGAAAACCTGGCGTACATCCTGGCCAAAGCAGCATACAATCTTGCCCTAGGCTTCGCGACTCTGGAGTACTGTAAGCATGCGACTGATTCCACTCACCAACGAATTTTTCGGCTCGGGATATTTTCCATCGTCTTAGCCCATCTTGTGTCGTTTCTGCTTTTCCTGCTCTCTTGCCAGCCAATCAAGAGAGCGTGGATACCGCAGACTGACGGTGAATGTCTTGCTACAAGGCCTCTATCCTATGGCACATCCATCGCCATGCTTGTGACTAACCTTGTCGCAATACTAATGCCGATTCCTCTGCTTTGTAAGCTACAGTTGACCAAATCAGAACGTACCCGCCCGATCGCATTAACCCTTCTTGGACTGTTAACTCCTATTTGCTCCGTGGCGCGGGTATGTCAGATTGAGACCATGATCGATGATGGAGATTCAACCATGCTTGTCTTTTGGGGTATTGTGGAGAATTGTGTCGGGGCAAGTACTGACTTAACATCGACCATCTGCTGGTAAGCAACGATGTCTTGCTGACATGGACGATCAGACCATCACCTCTTCCCTTCCCGCACTGTCCGTTCTGCTTCGAAACCTCCAGACCCATGCTTTAGGCAGAGGGCCTCGTCTCGGATCTACTTCAAAGCATCAGGACATAAGCCTGAAGCCCCTGTCTCCGCCGGCTCGCGAATCTGATGAGATCTACTTGGTCTCTAAGAATGATAATAGAGAATGTGCTTCGACAGAATAAACTGCTATTGAGAAACAAAGCATTCAGAGTGTAGCTACAATAAGCCATAGGTGGCTTCGGAATGCGACGAAGTTTGAATTGTAGTCATGATGTCAGGATTCGATACCACAATCTCATGGTGTCCACATCATGCCTAATGTCGTGAACTCCATGACCAAGTCTTACTCAAGTTCGATCCAAGTCCGAGTTTCTTTCTGCCCTGTCCGAAAAAGAAAATCAATGTTCTATGCATTCTTGTATATCGATCATCTAATGATCCACATGCTGATTCACTGCATCATCTCTACGGATCTTGCTCTCTGATGTACATGAGCTAGTCTACACTCAGCCTTGTCTTGGCAGGATCAGTCAAGACCAACGCTCCGTATTCCCACAGTTCTATTGGTTTAAACTCAACATACCGACGGTATAACGACGGTATAAACACAATCATGCCAACACGCGACCACCACTCTTGATCATTTTGACGAGACCATGTTCGGGAGTTCCGTGAAACCTTGAGTCCTCTGAGTCAGGCGAACACCCTGAGCGGAAGATGCTGTCATGTCAGATAGTCAATCACTGGTAGGTCGTTGAGTGAGGTTTACAGCAAAGAATTTGTCACACTTACAAGATACATCTTTTGCAGTGCGAACATATAGATCTCACATGGGTCTAGGTACAGGCGATGAGACTGCACACAGACGAGAGACACAAGTGGTACGCACAAGGATCCCAGCACCATAGCCATCGGTAACGGATCGGCTCAACAAGACTACGAAAATTCTTTCGATGGCTTCTTGGCCTCTATACAGGTTGGTGCCTTCGTAGCGGCTGTACAAATCGGGGGGTTTGTCATCCTCCGCAGGAGATATCACGGAAAGTGGTGAGACTTGTTAAAGTATCACAGGAGCAAGCAGAATTGACATATTCTTCGATGCTAGGAATATTAGATCATTCTACACCATCTTCTACGACTTAGATAGCTCGTGTTTAGATGCTATAGGTCTCTTTGCACTACTTCGCCTGCCAGTAAACGCACTAAGCCAACGTCAGCCCGCCTACAGAGATGTCGAATCGTACAAGGTAAAGACTGGTGCGCTATTTCCAGAGAATGCAAGAATACCTTACCAAGTCGTGTGTCGAATACGATTTTTCCAGTCTAGCGATCCTGAAGATCTTCGAAGCAGACTCAGCTATTGTTCGTGATGTTATGCCGCAAACAATCTGGCCTCTGCACACTTATCCGGTGTCTGAAGCTCTAGACTGTATCAATTGGTTGAACGCTCGCAAACCCAGGGCCCAGAGGACAGTGATCAACGTAATCATGACAGTCTTTTCTTTGGGATTGTTCGTTGTGCTCGCCTTGCCGGTGACTTTCAGTGCATCACTAGGTCAGATAGGAGATTTGATGCAAAACATCTCATGGCTCTACTGGGTGGACCGAATACCTCCTCGCGCGTTTGCATACCTCCAGGGCGCTGTACCTCAACTACTTGTCTCTGCGGTGGTAGCGCTTGTTCCGTCACTTCTGCGATATCTTTCCTCTTTGCATTGTCATGTCACTCATGCTCAGGCCGAGATAGCGTACTATAGATACTACTCGGCCTTCCTCTTCTTACAAACTTTCTTGCTAGTGTCAATCTCGTCGAGTTTGATGGTCACATTGTCTGAAATCCTCAACAAGCCATCCGCAATCCCCAGAGTGCTGGCTTTGAATCTCCCCAAAGCCGGTAACTATTTCATCTCTTTCTTGACTTTACAGGGATTTTCACTTTTCGCAGACATGATTGCGCAATGGGTTTATCTTCTCAAGAGAACATTTAAGAGCCGTTTCTTGAGCTCGACGCCCCGTTATCTTGCCGCGGTTACCTCACAAGATCCTTTCTCCATAACAGGGATGTACTCGACAGTCGCGCTTCTGGGAGTGATCGGTAGGCTCGGGAAATTCATCGGAACTTGGTTCTGCAAGCTGACCTCCGCAGCTACAGTATACTCAGTCATCACTCCTCTGACCTTATTGCCCAGCAGCTTAGGATTGTTCGCGCTTCTGATGGCAACAAAGCCAGCCTTGCGCCGGTTCAAGGAGAACGCGGCAGGCACTAACGGTGAGATATTCTCGAATGTTATCAATCAACTCTTCGTGGGCCTGTATATCATGCAGCTCTGTCTCGCCGGCATCTTCATCAGTGTTGAGAGCAAGACCGCTAGATTTGCTTGTAAAGTGCAGGCGATATTGACTCTGCTTCTATTTCTTGCCACTTGCTGCTTTCATTTTATTATGGTAAGAAGTATGAAGCACCGACTTCTGACTGTGTTTTCCCATAGCAGTCTAGAAGATGACAGAACTGGAGATCTGACTCTACAAGGTCAGAGCAGGACTACGAACGGTCCTCATATACTCGCCACAACAGCTTCGCCAGAGACCTCCCCCGAGTCACGATCAATCGTAGATTCTTCAGAGATGCAGATTGCGCACATAGTGCCGAACAGTTACCCTACGGGTCCTGATCTCAGGCGCATGACAGATGTTGGAACTTTGGCCCGACTTTCTGCGGATGACCGAAAGATCGACTTTTACTTGCAGATCACATTGTTCATGAAAGACGTGGGAAGCGATCCGGATTCGGAGATTGAACGATTCATAGCGAATTCCTTCAGTTCACTCCATTCTGCGAACAGTTTTCCAAAGCTCAAGAAGAGGCTACTGCGGGAATGTCCGAACTCTGTAGTTCCGAAGGTAGTCGCATAGAAGTGGGTCGCCCGCGATTGGAATCCGAGCCGCATTGTATATGCATAGTAACACTCATTGAATTCCTCAGTATGTTCTCATCGCGGAAAAGGCTTTGTCTGCTATGTACCGACAGCCTCATGCATGTTGAATGTCTAGGGTTCGACATTGATTTGGATGGCTCGAGAACTCGGTTGCTTTGTATGCAATCAGTCGTCACTACTATATGAGATCTAACAATAGTCACCGGAAAATTAAGAACACGACAGTTCGACAGTAATCAGTAGTAAGATACTACAACCCCACGGGATTTCTCATATGATAGGGCTTAGTCGTGTTTTCTATCCGCAAATCGATGCCGCTTGTGAAGTCGGGAATCTGTGCTTCTAATTTCAGATCATAATGGTCTCTCCCAAGTCTTACGCAATCAGAGTGTCAGTGATCGTGCGGCTTGAAGGTGGAGTAGAATATATTACAGTCTTCTGGTAATTTACAGCTGAATGGTTTGAGACGTCGTCCGGCGCCAAGACGCGGACAAAATCTCATGATCATAGGGTACGAAAACGTCGTAAAACTCCAAATTGACCTTCGGCTCGTAAACATCTGATAGAGGTGGGAGTGAAAGATACTTTTTGGACGTACAACAGAGGGAGCTAAGACCTCCGAAGCAGAGGACATGTCACTTATTCACGATAGATGAATTCCAGACCATGTATATCGAACAGGGACTGCTCGATGACCTGGCTGAGCTACAGCTCGACGACTTCGACCCTCTGGACACTGGATTATCTGATGGACAATGTATCGATCGCGGCTACAGAGCGGGGAAGAAGAAAAAAAAGATGGATGCAGACTCAACCTAAAAGCGATTCCAGAGAAGAGATGAGGGAACATATGTCATCATTAGAGGTGGGATCGCTTTCATCGCAGAAACGGCGTGGTGCATTGCATATCTAATATCTTTGTCAGATCAGAACGCGGCCTGACAGATCTGGAATCGCCCTACAACCTGAGTATCGGTGGAAGTCGAGATACAATCTGGTCGTTTTGCTTTCAAAGAGCCAGAACGATCTAGCACTTGGTGCTGATACACTGTTCTTGGCCGTCAACATCCTGGACAGATACAGCTCAAAAAGAATCGTCAAGAAATGTCATTGTAAACTCCTCGGTGGTGTCGCTCTTCTCTTGGCAAGCAAGTATCTTAACCGCTTGTCCACCGCGTCGAGCTTTCGCGAGAGGTGTTGTCTATTTTCTGGCTATGAGTTGCAAGATATCACACAGATGGAAAAGATGGTGCTTCTAACACTGGACTATCTAGTCGGCTTTCCCGCAGTCATTGGATTCATGCAGATTGAGCTGCTCAATTTCCAACAGTCGAAGCCTCTCTATGACATGGTGCTCTACATTTGCGAGCTCACGCTTTGTTATTCGGAGTTTGTGTCGAAACCAGCAGCACTCATAGCCAAAGCAGCAGTAGATATCGCCAGTAGGCTGATTGGTAGACCACTAGGGCAGGGAGAGGCCAGTATGGATACTGATGATGAAGTTCGACGATTACTTCCTCGAATCTCCAAGATCCTATTGAAGCCACCTCGTGCCCTCTTTTACAAATACGCTAGAGAAGAAAGATCTCGTGTGGCTTTGACTGCCGGTGGATATCAGCCAGAGTGTGGCTCCACATATGGGAGATACCAAGAAGCGTGCAGTCTTGTATGGTAGAGCTTGAAGGTATGGCAGGATGTGGGCAATACAGTTCGTATTGCGTGCTAGGATATCCAGCAACAACTGCTATACCATTGGTGTCTTAGTTATAAGTCTGCCGCACGGACTGTCATATCATAGCTGATCGAACTGAACTAGGCCTGCTCGGCTGAGGCAGTATACCTTACACATCTGTGGATGGTTCTTACAGCGGTCAAAAGCTCTCATGCTTAGAAATGCTGTTGTTCTGCGTCGCGAAGCACGAATCTCAATTGAATATCCCGTTGAACCATCTGAATCATGAGAGGTTGTTATCGTGGAGCTAGAACAACACAGAGTTTTGAATCTCATTCGCATCATTCTGGACCTGATCTCTGATAGAAAAACAAACGACGTTCGAAGTAGAATCTGGTGGAGGAAACGACAGTGGGAGATCAGGCAAGCATCAATTGGTAGACTGCCCTTTCCTAGCGTGAATTTTACCCATCCAACGACGCCAGTCAGTCCAGCTTGGAGCGCAATATCCGCTGCTAAGGCACATATCATATGACATTGTTCCGAGCAATCATGTATGGTGTTTTGCAAATCAGCTAAGGATTGATCTCTTTACGAATACAGTAGGCTGATTGGCGTGCAAGCGTGGAAGTGCTCAGGCTTGAACTTAGTGTGTTCACATCGTTTAATCATACAATGGACACCCTGTTGCTACGTTACGGTCACAAGAAGATTTCGAGATCAGATAACTCAAATATGGGATGACAAGAAGTTTTTCAGCAGTTTCCTATCGTAAGCGCTTGAAGGTGAACAACATTGGAGATCTACTACAAAGTAGCGATAGGTGAGCCTCCGGAGTTATGCGTACGAAGCTGCGGAAAGATTTGAAGCAAGGTGATCCCAGGCTATCTGAATGCTGCATTTCCGACAGAAGCGTCCTCTGCTTACGGCGTAGTCGATGCGCCGAAGTGATGTTATCCACAGCAAGAAGAATTTCAGTGTTCCGTTATGTCTTCTTCATTCAGCTGCCAATCGACAAGTTCTTCGCTTGTGTCCGGATCTGACTTAGCTGGATCTTCAAAGACTCCATCTCAACGCTCTGACTGACGAACATGGTTCGGATGGAAGAACTCTCGGCTCGTACAGCCATGATTTGGGTGTTGATATGTTCCCCAGGCGGGTTCCGACAGCCATCCTCAGGTCCTGAGCGTCTGCATCGTTGCTGTGGGGTTTCTTCGTTCAACTTGAGCTCTGATGCATTCGTTGTGGGCTCGATACCATCCTCAGTGACAGCATCGTGGCTCCTCAAACCATGCCCCTTATGAATCCTTCGCAAATGAGTATTCAAATTGTCGCGACGTGCGAAAGGGTTCCGTTCACTCCGCTCGCAAGTCCAATGTGGACAATACAGTTTTTTCGGTCCGCCGTGCAATCCGTGAGAGTTGCGTTGGTGTCTGAGCAGGCCATTTGTATCTGAGAATGTTTGCGCTGGTGTGCATGTGAAGCACTGTGGTCTTGTTCCGGGCCTCTTCTTGTGTTTACTGTGTAGGGAATAAGCACGAACTTCTGTGATTCAACAGCCAGGCTCGTTGACGATCACATCATCCGATTTGCAGCAGCGGCATGAATACTTTCCTCTCAGAACTCGAATGTTGAGAGCCTCGGTGCAGAATACGAACGCACGCACAATCGTCTTCGATGATGTGATCAGACGTTTCTGGAGTTTTACTTACTTCGATTGGCTAATGTTTGGGTATTCCTTTCTGCGGTTCATGAATACTGGTCTTTCTTCATCGTTCAGCGCATTGTTCCGGGCATCCGAATCCTGGAAGGTTCGGGATGACACGCCTATGCTGAGTTCTTGGGTGTCGTTATTGTCTGATGTCGACTGCACACCTCTTGTGTCCCGTATGTCTAGACGTGATTTATTTACCATATCCGGGGGACTGGCAGTTGACACACGAGACAGATTGGCAAGTGTGCTTTGATCTGCTGCAGAAGCCGCCATGAGGGATGTTGAGTTTAGTGTTGAGAAAAAGACAACCAGGAGGTACAGTACTTGTAATAGAAATGTTGCGTCTGTAATCTGCAAATATAGCAGAAGTACACGTGACACTCATTCGGGGAGCCATTTCGTACTGTATGTCAAAAATTTTGACGCCTAGACACAGTGATAAAAACAGTGCTAGCCTGGTAATCAGCAGTGCTACCTAGATATCCAGATCTGACGAGGCTGAAACACCTGTGCATGAGCAATCTCGCTAATGCGCACCCACGGCCTTGCTATGGCTGCTTAGCTTGCTGACGATCACTGCGTAGTGTCTCAAACAACCTTCCTCAAAGGCTTCCTACTCTGGAAAGAACTGAAATTGAGCAATAAACATGTGCAGTGCAATCCCAACTGCAGCTCCCACTCTTTTCGCCTCGGAGATACCCTAGTGACGAGTCACTCCAGCGCCTGCAGGGTAGCCACGTTTCATGTATTAGGTCTCTTATGAACCAATTACGAAACGGTTGTCATACTAGCAGATCAGACGTGTGCGAGTCTAAGCTCGCTTGGATTTCACCACTCGAAGATCCTCTCGGAAGAGCGGTAACGATTCGAGCTTCTACAGATGTTGACATCAAAGACTACAGAGAGCGAGCATGTGGAGTGCGAATGTTACCAGAGTGATCCCTGGTCGTTGAACGTGAAGGCTCACAGAACAGAATCTTACGCGAAGCAGCAGCAAGCTGTCATAGTTATGCGAAAAGGCAAGTGGACGTCAGGAAAGCTGATTCTTCATCCATCAGAATCACACGCCACACATTTGACGAAGAAGGACCTCCTACTTGGGGTCTTTCACCCTGCAACAGAGTGCAGAATCTTCATCGATTCCTCGATCTTCGTCTGTCCAGACGCCAGCCTGCTCGTTGTGCTCAATGCTGCGCTAACTTGTAATTCTTGTCACTTCGATTCATGTAGCTGTATCTGAGTTTGGTATGATTGTTTCTCAAACGTTCGGGTTTGGAGAGTGAGTTCATCCGAGAAGTCTCTAAATTTGTGGCGTCTGCAGCTCTTTTCGACGGGCAATCTTCGATCATGTCACACTTCGACACAGCACTTGGAATGCGTATAGACCTTACTCCATGTCTCCTCCGTTCACCGCAAAAATCCTCTTGTGGACTTTCCGCATATGCCTCTTCATATCATACTGGCGGGAGAACGGCCGTCCCTCATGGCGTTTGCAGGCTCCATACGGACAATTCCATACATTTCAAGGTCCGCCGTACTTGCTATGAACCTCGCGCTGATGTCGGAGTAAGCCACCACGACATGGGAATCCCAAATGCTTAGCGCATCGAGCATCACGGCACATGTACAGTCTCTCGTGCTTGCCCAGGTGTTCCCTGTGCGATGAGTTAGCATGATATGCTGTAGCGCTGGGATTGATCCTATGCATGGATGAACAGCTGAGTTGATAGGCGTCACTCAGAAGCCGATTTCTGAAGTGAAATCGTTGACAATCTCGCTGCTTGTCGACAATACACGCAACATTATTCTAACCGGAGAACCCACAAATTAGACATTTTTCAGTTACGTAAGTCCAGACCTCGTATTAAACTGTTTCTGACAGATTTCGCACACAGACATTTTTCCGTTCTCGTGTTTGTCTTCATCAGGTCGAAGATCTGGACTCCAAAGGTCGGGCGGGAGGTGAGACATTCGAAGCGTCTTTATGCTCATCATCGTCGTGTCTTGTTCGTTGTATGGTGGGGGAGGTAGACGTGTTCGAACACAATTCGTTGATCCGGAGAACTCGCCGGCCACCCATGGAGTAATCTGGACAGGTGTTCAACTGTTTCGAGATGCTGCCATGGGAAAGGATGGGTTTCGGGATGGAAAAAGAGTATTCGGTTACGAGAGACAAAAGCACAGGATGAGGGCGTCGTGTTGGTTCAGCAAGGCCTTCCAGATCTAATGACCAAGTAAAAGTCGAAAATCTACCTCGAAATTGGAATTGGAATGAAATTGTGTTGACGCCTAGGGGGCAGCTTGCTAGCGGCAGTATCGACCTATCAGAAGGCAGTGCTGCCTAGATATGCGCTTCCGTCAGACTCGAAACATCCATGCATGAACGAATCCGATAATGCGCGCCCAGCATCCTCATATGGCCGACTCATGTCCTGATCTCTATCGTCTGTCAATCAGTAGTCCATGCAAGCTGCCAGTCGCATCTGAGCTTGATGAATCAATAACTTTCCTGCAATCTCACCTGCAGCTCCCACTTTTTCCCTCAAACATAACCTAGTGTCACTTGCTCCCAGCAGCCGCTAGATGTAGACAAACTATGCATCATTACTCCATCAAAGCAAAGCATCAGTGCACATCGCGATCTCATAGGATGAGGCGATATGTTTGACCGAGACAGGCTTCTTGCGCTCAGGGTGCGCATCATGCTACATTCCAGTAATGATCTTGTCTGCAACTTTGGATGGAGTTCATCAATAAACTTCTGTGCTAGTGAGCATATGCTGCAGCCTAGATAAGGCATGCGTGCAGAAATGCAGAACGTGTAACAGATTATGACTCAAGGATCTCTCGATCAATCATGGAGCAGACGCAGAGTGTTCGCTCAAGCACAAAAGATGGAGGTGTGCCAGGTGCGGCATAGGTCGGCTAAGATGTGACTATATTCTTATGCGCGCAGATCATCACCAAAATGATACGATTCCGTACGTCTCGCGAAGAGAGGATGAGCTTTCACGGTAGTGCTGTGGTTTCTGGGTCGATAGTTGTTGCTGCGAGACGGTACACTAGAGAAATTATTGGATGGCATGACGCAGGATGCAATATCGGGTACACGTCCAGCCGCAACGAACTCCAACCAGCTGGCAGTGACAGCGGTTCGTGCTAGAGGCGGAAGCTCGGGACGAAGAAATAGTCGTTACTCACAACGATACTGAGGTGATGGACCAGGTATAGTGTGCAAGCCAGGGAAGTGTAGCTCATCGCAAGATCGTAGACCAAGGTATCTTTGGATCAAGACAAGTGGACGCCATGGTGATTGTCAGGAGCGACAGCATTAGCGTTGTACACCCGGTTCCCAAACAGACAGGTTGGGGACGACGACGGTGGAGCGGGAGGATGAGTTTGCAACTTCGATAGCTATGAGGATCTGGGCGGCCGTTCTCTCCGACCCTCGCATGTTTGCTATGGTAGTTTGTCTCCAGGGAGTTCTCTGCAAACAGCGTGAGCGATCGCGCGTCATGTCACAGCTCGGGACGACACGTCCGACGCAGTCCTACCACAATCACTCATGCCACACCTGAAGAGCTCTACAGGAGATAAGCATCAAACTTTCGCACTCGTTGGAGAAGCCATCGATGATGAACAGTATGTACGTGACGACTGGTAGTATTGATCGATTGAATCATGAAGGCACCTTACCAAGACGGATCTTTGCTTATTGCGCATGTTGGTAAAATTCACGCTCGCTGGAAGTTATGTTGATGGTCAGCCATGATTGTTGAACCCAGACGTGGACAGAGCTGAGATCACGTGCATGTATCGACTCCAACGAGAATTTTGATTTCCATCCCTCGCTTTTTGGCGTCGCACTTCTTTGTCTGCGCTTCCCTGCTACACCCCAATCGCTGACTCTGCTTAGCATCATCGCCAAGATATGGACATCCTCGACTGTGCCGAATTCTATGCGTTCGACCAAGGAAGCATCCTATTCCAGTACACGAGGGTTCTCTTTCACCAGGACTCCAGAATCTTTCTCGGTCAATACTCAGGACGAAAAACTGCTATCGGAACAAATCTGGACATCGAAAGACTTTCCGCTATACAAGAGATACTCCCCGAGATGTACCGTCCACAGGATTTGGACAACTACATCCATTCCTCAAAATTTCAAGTTGAGGGAGTGCACATCAAACGGCCAAACTTGTTACAGTTCGATGGCACGCCTCATCTGGCGGAACTCATGCTTGTCGATCTAAAAGCTTGCGAGATCCTACATCAACATCCACACGTGAATATCGCGAGATACTTAGGATGTCTCAAGGAGGATGGGAAAGTCGCTGCATTGTGCTTCTCGAAGTACAAGGAGACCTTGATGGACAAACTCAATCCAGAGGGTCTTAGTAAGGTTGACTTCATCAACACTGCAGCGGAAGCTAGGTCAGCAGCTTCCCAGAGGTATCTGCCTCGTATCGAGCAAGCAGTACGACACATACACGAGCTGGGACTAGCACACAATGACATCAACCCGGAGAATATCATGATAGATTCGGAGGATAATCCCGTCCTCATTGACTTCGACTCATGTGTAGAGCAAGGTTCACCATTGTCAGGTATCAAACGTACTTTAGGATGGTATGACGAATCGATTGAGGTCTCAAGACCTGAGAACGATTGGCGCGCACTGAAGGAGATCAGGACGTGGCTTGAAGCTTCGACTGCTGAGAGTTTCTCGTTTGGCTATTGAAACGATCTGGAGGGGAATTACCTGTGATAGGGTGATATAAGAGAGCGGATGATGGATACCATTCAATAGTGTCTGTGCTTCGACTTGAGCTCGCTTTCTGCAGGTAATTACATGGTTATTGTTAATGAATGAGACACAATTCGATCGATCTCAACGGCAAAAGCTACCCTTGGCGGAAGGATTCCATTCCACCTTGCCATTCGGCTCGAGTGATACATCGCTGTTCCACGTTGATAGAATAGCAGGGGCCACTTGAGTGACACGTCAGTACACATGAGCTTGATGTCCATCCTCGCTAGCTCTGCATATGCAGTTTGGTCGTCAAAGCTGAATGTGGTGGATAAATCCCGCATCAAACGCGAGACTGTCTCGATTTGTCAGGATAAGCGATCGAACTGTGCTCTGCCCTGATCTTTCTGGCTATATAAATACGCTATGAACAACTGTATCCCAATTCTTGCAAGTACCTGCTTTTTCAGATTCTTGTCTAGAAAACCATTACACCTTACCGCAACAAATCGTTAGTATTCTCGACTTCTATACATGGTAGACATCAGACTAATCAGAGACGAGCAGAGCAGTATGGCAATCTTCACAGAGCTGTCTGGCGGAGAGCTCATCAATCAATGCACCTTCAAATCGCACTTTGGAATGATACAGAAGATCAAGGACTGTGGAAGCAAGACTTGTCCTCAATCAGACGCATATACAGGATGAACATTCAACTACCGACAGCAGGGTCACAGGTGTTTACGGTAAAACTTGCCCTTGAAACATGATCTACTCTTCTGACTCACTTCTGTAGATGGGTACAGTAAATGCGTTGAGGTAGTTGATGTTTTCAATCTGATTTGAGGCTGTTACTGTAGGAGTGAGTCTTCGTATCCGGTTTTACTCCAGTGGTGAGGTTTCCCGTATACTTCAATGCGAATGCAAAGACTGCAAAGCTTCAACTTTGTTTCCGCCGCTATCCAAACTGTCACGTGTCTAATTCTTCCTGTACCACAGGTGTATTATCTAAAAATCCTAGCATACTGAAGGACTCTTTCCAAGTAAGATTTCTGGCAGGGCTTCCACATGGCTAGCGTATGTAGACTGTTGGAGTAACTAGACCAAGCCGCAAGACCAGAAATGCTCTTCTTCACTTCTGATTTCACAAAATTGCGACTTCGCTTGCTTGACATAGGGCATGCAGTATCGAGACTGCTGCGGTAAGGATGGACTCGAGATTTTGGTATATGGTTGTACCGTTCTCAAGCCCGCCAATTCCTCCAATTGCGCTAGTAGCACTTTCAAGTCTAGAATCGGCCAAGCACGGATTTGGTGCTTGGGGAGCAACCTCCGTGGTTGCTATAGCGGGTAGCAGCAAGTTGGTAATCATGACAAGGATACTGATGACTGCCTGGGCGTATCATTTGAATCTACTGTAGGTGTCTATCAGGTAATCTTGTTGGGAATGTCTCACAAACCATACAAAATGAAGAGTCGACTCTTGCGTCAGACTTGGAGCCGACAGCTCAGGGAAGCAAACTCTGATTGTTCCAGCCTGGAAGTAAGCAATACAGTGGACGCTTCATCTACCAAGAGTTCACTGGACTCTAAAGAATCGAATGAAACACTCGGTGATGCCGGGGCATCAGGCTTGTCCGGAACGGTGGACTGCGAAAAATTGCTCGTACTAGGACAATTGGGACAGGAATGCTTCCACTGTGTACTTCACTCGGATAGATAAGCATGTCCTGCTTACAAGTACTCAAAAATTGATCTTAGGATGGGGTCTGTCATGGGAAGGGAGACCACTCATGGCACATTCTAGGGTGTTCGATAGTTCAGCGAGATTGACTGGTGCATTTTTGGCATTGTGCTCTAGAATAAGCCGGAATTGATTCAGCGATACTCACTCTGCCCATCACGATAGGCAGCATGAATTGCAAAATTATTCGCCTCTCTTAGAACAGTATCCAGTCCGAGTATATAGATAGCCGAGAGCACGTCAATTATGGAGACGCTTCCAGAGAGCAGACACTCTGAAGACGTGGAGTGATCGTGTGTAGTCAAAAAGTTTGTTTTGGACTTTTGGATGGTTCTCTCTCTGGATGACGCGACGAGAGAGACCGCCAAGTCATGTTTCAATCTCGCTTGCACCTGCCAGCTTGTCAAGTTCGGCTTTACCTGCCTCTGCCCGACGAATGAGTGGTCTACTACAGTCAAACGTTGCCATGGTGTCTGTCTACTGAGTACCGCGTGTATGTACATAAACCAGCTTCAACGAAGAGAGTGTGCCCATGCGATCCGGTAATTATGACAAGAATCACAATCGTAAGTGAGTTGCTTCTGATCTTTGGATCTTGAGGGTTGGTCAAAGCCTCGGCCGCAGACGATAGGGCTGTTGGATGCTGTTCGCCTTCTACCTTATCAAGCTTGTACAGTGAATGGAGACGAGGCAGATTGCGTGTGGGGTAGTGCAAGGCGGCCTGGTTGATCACATCACTGATCAGGGTCCTAGCAGCGGATGACCAAGATAGAATAGCCAGCGCCAGCACCCCCCACATTCTTGTCGGTTGTCCTGCCACAGCGCTTCAAAACAAACTTGAAGCCGTCTGCATCTTTCACATTTGTCGCTATCGTCACCATGGCTCAAGTACGGCCACCATTTGCTGCTCCGACGCATCAGGACGGCGGAAGGGAAATTCCTGAGGATGCGACACATACCGTGACGTTTCGACATCCGGGCTACCGTGATGAGCACAACATCATCATGGTTCTACCTGCGCTCGACGACGTGCAGGGATGCATCCATCACGAAACAGCTCTGACCGCTTGCGCCATCGTCGCTGGCAACCGCTGAGATGGCTTTCTACGCCAACAGGGGACCGGCAGCAGAGTCACGACACCACGAGATGGGATCTTGAAGGGCAAAGATTACTTCTTTAGATTACTTCTTCTGCTTGTCCGACGACGCCAAAGGTCAGTCCACTCAGCGCCTTTGTTGAGGTCTACTGACACGACTCCAACCTGACAAAGATACCCCCTCGTCCCTATCTTCGCACACTGGCGTTTCCCACACGGAGATCTACCGTCTAGCTGGTCGCAACTCAGAGTGCCCAACATGCCGCCCAGCCGGGCGTTGCCTCGTCAGGGCAGTCTCACGGACGCCCTCCTCGCGCGCGACATCTCCTGTCGCTTGACTGCTACCGTCGAAGGCACCGAGCACGTCCATCTCTTCCCGCGTACCGACGAGATGCAGACGTCCCGCGCAACGCCCTGCTGCTTCGCTCCGACATACACACAGTTTTCGATCAACGTCGTTTCGCCACCACTCTCTCAAGACCTTGCCTGTTGCTAGCGACAGCGCAGCGACAGCGCAGCGACAGCGCAGCGACACACGGACTGGCTGTACATCTGTTTTCCCCCGGCTTGTCCGAGCAGTTTGCCAAACTCTACCATGGTGTCGCTTTGCAACCCTTATATGGCGTCGCGCCCGAGTACTTGTTCGCACGCTTTGCCTGGACCGTTTTTGCTTACTCGGCTCAGTTTCTGGAGCAAGGTACCAACAGAGCCCTCTATATTGTACACGATGGCGAGACGTCTGATCAAGAGGTCAACGCAGACCAATGCATGCAACTTTACTTCAGCTGCAAGTCTCGAAGTCTCAGTCCTTCGAAACGCGAGCGCGATAATGGAGGCTCCGTCCAGGAGCGCGAGTGCGATGCTAAAGGACAAGAAGACGAAGATGAAGACGAAGATGAAGACGAAGATGAAGACGAAGATGAAGACGAAGATGAAGACGAAGATGAAGACGAAGATGAAGACGAAGATGAAGACGAGGGTCGATACAGAGGACGTGCCAGACTGCGTAGCCCGAGTCGTCTTGCAGCTTCCGAGTCTACAGCATTCCAAGCGCTGCTCGCAGTCACAGACACCACTTCTACGGTCACCCATGACCTTGACGCTCCATCTTCTGCTGACCCTCGTGCTGCCGTGTAAGCAGGCGCAAAGAATGATCTGCCTGTCTGAGAACCTATGGGTGTGACTCGCCTATATGAATGGTAATGTCCCACGCGGGTGGGCCTTCACAGGTCCTTGGGTTGCTCGCCTTGCAGACGTTGAGGTCGAAACGAGGTATCGTTTGACGTTTCGGTCCTAAAATACTTCCTAAACTGGATCAAACGAACGACGATGCATAGATCTCAAGCGCTATACGCGGAGTCTGTTGGTTGAGTTGTCTCCCTCACTCGCTCCTCTCAGTCGCTCTCAGGTAAGTCTTGTTCAACATCTCCATCACAACCCTAAGCGCTGGTATACAGCCTCCACCCGGCCTGCAATCTTTTGACGGTGACCCGTGATCTTTGATTCCTCGTTGGTGAGCAAAGCCTGTAAGTCCTCTACATCATGGCCATTCTGCAGCTCCCAGCCTATTTCCATGATGGCCTCGTCGTGCGTGTTCTCTAAGCAACTCAGCTCAGACATCAAAAATTCAAGTTCCCCTTCTTCTTCCAAATCTTCCGCAACAGTGACGATTCGGTCTTGGATGGCTTCCTCTCTCATCTTGTCGACAACCTTCCAGCCTTTGGCGTTATAGGCACCAGCGCAAGCCCACCGGGACATATCGTAGGCGATATCATATATGGGTGCCCTGTTTCCAAACATGCAGGCAGCTGTTCCGCAAAGGTAGCCCTCTCGAAAGGAGAAAGCTGATCTCCATAGTCTTTCATTGCGCTCCGCAGCTCGGACAGGCTAGGAAAAAGCTCACCAGTGCGGGTTCCAGGCAGAGCGAATCCCCTTCGGATGACAAGGTCCATCGAAACGATATGGATCACGTTGTCGTCTGGCACTTCCCAAAGGAAAATGTATTCGTTTTCGAAATTCTTGACTTCTTCCTCTGAGCTCCCGCTTTCGATTGCAAAGTCTCGAGCAGGGTAGATTTTGGTTCGAGCATCCGCTCGAGTCGTGAAGAATGCAATCATGATATCTTGTCCATCTTCGCCAAGCCACATTTTCTTATAGGAAATATGGAGAGCTCGAAGGAAGTTGGACGTCGTCGACACGAAGGCTGTGGGTGTGGGACTATACAGATTTCTGTGCTGCTGAAACTCTTGGAGCAGTCGAGCTCGTGTAAATTGGTGCGGACGAACACCATTGTGTACTTTGCTGCTTCTCAAATCGCTGGCGCTTTTCGTGGACCAGCAGCGATACAGGACGTCGGGAATATTGTTGGACATTCTAGGATAAAAGTCTTTTGAATCTGATGGCTCTATGTCTTGAAAAAGTCTTTCCACTTGGTTTGAGAAAAGCGAAGGAGAGCTGTGGTTCAGGAGTGGGGTTTGAGCTTCTATTGACAAGTCTGCTGACACCAACACGTGCAGCTAACTCACAACTCACCGAGAAAGCCGCCACATGCATATGCACATGCACATGCAAGGCTAGCAGAATCGGACAGCACAGTCAAGCCAATCACAATACAGCACTGCTTTGAGACAGATTCTGCACATTCTCACAGTTGGGCGATATCTGTTCGGCTGGACGGCAGTAGGGCCCAAGAGTGAGTTATCGTGGTGGTTTCAAGGACGATTCACTGCTAGGATACTAGAGTACTTGATGCTAGGAGGAGCACGTGAAGTCCCTACCAGTATGGTCGCAAAGAACGGAAGTGATACTGCAAGTCATCGATGTCTTTGAAGCCTGCCGTGCCGAAAAGGTGCCCCTCTGCAACATCGCTCTCTACAACCACCTACTCGCGGTCGAACACATTGTTGGAGTTATCAATCTTGTAAATAGCTCCTTGCACCGGCCAAAACATACTGGCTAGCTCTAGACCTCGAATTCGGCTATTGACAATGTTCACGAGACTGAGCTGCTAAAGCTTCATCTTCTTTTAGCACGGCCACTTTGGAAGGCGAGGAAGACAGTTGACCCTCTCTGTATTACTCAGGTGTCGTTCTCGAAAAAGCATGCTTGCAGCTCTCGGTCGGAGACACGCCAAATCTTGGAGGAAAGAAGGATCGCATTGCTCTATCCAGGCTTGATGGTGCAAGCTCATTGCTGCAGATATGCAACGATGTCTGGATGAGATCTTCGGCCAGCTCCTTGCGCACAATCGAGCGCTGTTCGTCCATGAGAATCCACAATCGTCTTGTTTGCATCTGCTCGGGTGAGGATCTGAACGATGTCGAGATGCCCGTTTGTAGCGGCATAGTGTAGCGCAGTCTCGCCATACTTGTCTGTGGTATCGACTTCGGCGCCAAGATCGAGACAGCGATTCGTGAGGGATTTGTGGTCCAGTTCTGCTGCCTGATACAGAAGAGCTTTTCCGTGATCCATGTCTCGCTCAGAGAGGGTATCCTCTTTGAGAAAAGGCAAGAGGCGCAAGACATTTGTGTTGAAACTTCTAAGCGGAACTCAGAACAGGACCTTTTGGAGGAGGAGTGCACCGCTGACGAGCAGGATGCCGATGATTCTGTCGTAGCCTCTCCCTAGAGCGACTTTGCTTCTATAAAGTAGCATCTACACTATCTTATCGTGGCCTCGTGCTGAAGCTGCTTGCAGTGCGTTGCCGTAGTGTCCGCCTTGCGCGTGAACGTCTGTGGCTGCATCTAGCAGCATCTGCACAATCTTGTCGTGGCTTCTGTGTGAAGCTACTCGCAGTGCGTTGCCGTACGGTCCAGTCTGCGCGTTGACATCTACGCCTCTATCTAGCAGATTCTGCACGACCTTATCTTGGCCTTTATGTGAAGCTACTTGCAAGGCATTGCCGTAAGCTCTACCCTGCGCATTAATATCTGCGCCTCTATCTAGCAGCATGTGCACGATATTGCCGTGGCCGTTTGCTAAAGCTGCTTGTAGTGCGTTGCCGTAGTATCCACCTCTCGCGTCGACCTCTGCGCCGCTGTCTAGCAGCATCTGCACAATCCTGTTGTGACCTAGTTCCGAAGCCCAGTATAATGCCGTCCGTCCATCCTCGTCACTTGCGTCTACATCCACCCCTGCCTTATCAAGAAAATGTCTCAGGACTCTTTTATGGTTGCTCAGTGCAGCAAGCCGTATCGGCGTCATGCTTCTCGCACTGTCATACTGCCGAGTCTTGGTCCAGAACCCGTCAAACCAAAACTTAGATGCTTCTCCTTCGGTGTTGTACAAAGTCAACGCGTCTTGGAAGGTGTATTCCCGACTTGCGTCTTGAGACAAACTGTAGTGCGTCGTCCACCACTCACAGCAGTACTCTGTGAACTCCTTTCTACTATCTCCCGCATCAGGAAAACCAGTCGGAGATTCGTCATCAGTTCCTTCGTCGCTAGATGAAACTTCGCGATCCTTGAGATTGAGGCAGCATATGCAGATGGATGTCATCGTCTGCTCCATCTCGACTTGCTGCACGCAGTGCCTCCATGTGTTGCGCGCGAAGCTCTTGGATTGCTCATACTCTTGACGAGCGACAAGAAACTCTCCCACTGTCTAGTGTATCAAGTAGATCCTCGAGTGGTTGACAAACACAAAGAGGCCGCACCAGTGTCTCAGCTGCTTCCCGAGATGGTCTGGATCTATCTGAGCATCCACAGATGTCCCGTGTTGTTTCGAAGTCACAAGGCCAAGAGTAAGGGCCATCTCAAGTACCGCTAGTGGACGTCGAGCTCCCACGATGATCTGCAAGATGAGCTCCACTTTCTGATGCTGTTCTGGTACAACCCTAGCCAGTATCTTCTCGTAAGCGGTCTCCACAGAGGATGGCACCGACTCGATGACTTCTTCGTCTGGCCTGAAACTGTCTTGTATAGTCTTGCGGATATCGTCAATGACCAGATGGAGCTAGAGGTACGTGCCGTGCTCCATCGCCAGCAGAGTTTGCTCGATACGGACAGATGCGCTCTCGCGAAGGCCGAGCTCTTTCGCCAGTTGTACCACACGGACGTGGATAACACGGTTGATCTCTGCATGGATCTGGTCGTTCCCCTGTTCGCCTAGCAGGCGTATAGCAGGCAGAGATGCCGATATCTGCTCAAACCCTCTCTGGATATCGTCGTAAGGCCGACTTGTGACGATGAGCTTGAGCCACGACTGACGAGGGCCCCGAGACGCGGCGTCTTCGTGGAAACGAGCAAGCTTGGCAATCAGATCGCTTCGGTCTCTGTCTCTGCACTTGTCAAGAACATCCAGAACACATATCGTGTTACGTGCAGCCACGTCAGATGTCGCTGCAAGCAAGATGCGCCACAGCTCATCAGTCTCTTGCTGCAACTTGCTTCCATCCTTGTTCCACGCCGGGACAGCGTGCCGGAGAAGGTGTGGCTGACGCTGGAAGAGCTGGTGCAACAGCGCGCACAGACCAGTCGCGAGACTGTTCTGTTCGACGTTGTCCTTGAAGAAGATGTAGCAGACAGTGCTACCGTGCACATCACTGGGAAGCTCTTGATCCACTAGCGACTTGGAGAGGACCGACTTGCCGCAGCCAGGATCTGCCGAGATCCAGAGCAGGTCATCGGTGGCACTATCTCTCCAGCGCTGATACAACGGGTGAGACAGGGCCCACTGGCAGGTCTGGTCGACACGATCGGGGTTGATGTTCTTGAACTGCTCGTATGTGCTGGTCTTGAAGACTTGGTGACAGCTCCGATGTTCTTTGTTGAGATACCTCGCTTCTTCGCTTTTGAGATGCCCCTTTATCACGTCTGTCGTGATTTTCGACTCTTTACACAACCGTTTGAACTCGTTGTTGACTACATTTTGAATGCGTTGTCAGACTTGTCAAACACTCTCGGAAGATCTCCACAAGGGCTGCATATTACTTACATTCAGCAAGTATCATTCTGATCCTATCCTCTTGCTCGACCCTGCTCGGCACCATCCTCGTGAGGAGATCCTTGGTGTAGGCCGCTGCTGTCATTGCTGCATAGCCCTGCCACTCCTTGCTCTTGTGCGAGTCAGAGTAGTCACAGATGCCTCGCACCACTAGGCACGGAAAGTGGTTCATCAGCCCAGCTGCCTCCATCTCGAAGCACATCACGCCCTTCTCTTTTGCTGTGGTGTCCCTAACTATAGCATCTTTCATCAGCTGGTTGGCAGATGCGATGACACCATGATGAATGACAGGGTTATCCTCGCCCTTCTCCCTTTCACGACGTTGGACTAAGCCGGCAGTCTGACTCCCGCACACTTCTTCGCAACCATGCTCGCTGCCTTGAGGATGGACAATGTCAGACTTGTAGAGACGATCGCTCCCCTGTTCTGGTCGACCGTACTTCCTTCGCAGCCGAGGCTTCCTATCGAGCACCGCCGTTATGTTTGCTTCTATCTGATGTCCATCGTCCTCATACTTGCTTTTCAGACCACTGACCGCAGTGCGCATCACTGCTGGAGGCGGTGTGAGAAACCCGGTCTGCCTGAAGCTCTGTTCTTGGATGGTCTTGCCGCAGTCGTATTAATACACACCATCAGTCTCGCCTTGTCGGCTGCTGACAACAACGCCGCCGAGTCGGATGTCGTTCTTTGCACTCGGCGCGCCGCCACCAATGCCGACCATGAGGCCGACTCTGACGTTGGGGAAGCTGTTGAGCATGTCTTTGGCGACGGCTGTAGCGCTGCTCAGTCCATACTCATCGTCCGGTAACACAGCGATGACGACGTTGTGGCCGGCCATCTTGCCGAGGGTGTAGTCGTTGTTGTCGTTGGCCGAGACATGATCCGGGCGATCGTGTTGCTCGTCGAGAAACTGACGTGCTGCGGTATATTCAGTCGTTATTGCGCAGATCCAGCCTGCAGTATACTGCTGCGGTTCTGACATGTTCGTGGCCGGATCTCCGTATGGAAAGAATGCTTGCAGAGATCGTAAATGCAGTTTTTTGACTCGACCGAGCCTCAAGCACCCACTCGCTTTATCCTGTCTGACATGCATACTCAGGTCCGCGCAGCCTAAGCATCTGCGCTGCCTGCAGACGCCCGATCATGCAGCCACCATGACAAAACTGCTCAGCCTCGGAGCCACTAGAGCCTTGCAGTCCGATTGACGAAGACCTTTTTCATGGACTTGCCAGTCTTCGCCTGTGTATCTCAAGAGTGATCTCGCAGTAGGCAGGTGTATCTATGGCCATCTATCACCGTGACTTGACGGCGTACGAGTGTTCATCACTGTACACGAAGTCGAGCGAGAACCTCCCGCAGCGCCGTTGTGGACATCCTCTGGACCAACTAATTATGGCACAGTTGTGGATGTGGAGTCGCGGGTAAATCTTTGCTGCCAAGACGGCCTCTGGCAACGTTGTTCTGCTGCTAGGACAACCCTGGCCCTGCCCTACACATTCTCTCCTCGCCATACTCTTTCTTTGGCGTAGACGAAGCACGTCAAGTAGCTGCTAGACGCGCTCTTGATATAACATGTCTGCAGCCCTTGGCCGATGGCTAACCATAATTCGGATCGAAACAATCATATCGTTCTATCGGGGCTTGATGTATACAGCCTGTTGCTGCATATAAGCGACAATGTCTAGATGAGACTTTCGCAGCGCAATGGAGTGCAATTTGTTCAAGAATAACCACAATCGTTCTGTTCGCATTCGCTAGAATGTGGATGCAAATAATATCGAGATGCCTATTCCAGCGGCATAGTAGTGTAGCGCAATCTCGTTACACTTCTCCATGGCGTCGGCGTCGGCATCGGCATCGGCATCGGCATCGGCATGAGCGCCCAGGTCGGTACAGCGGTCCGTGAGATCTCGATAGCCAGACCTGAGAATTGAAAACGTAGAGGAGAAGACAGAATCGGCTCACACGACTCGCAATCCCTGAATGTCATTCTACAGCTTGGCAACAGCCATCTCTCCAATACCGCCGGCGGCCTGTCTGAGACTGAGGTCACCCCTGTACGCTCGAAGGACATACCCACCTGTATAGAATAAGAATTAATGCTCAAAGATTACCTTCGCGCGATCGCAGTAGCTCGGTAAACGTTACGAACAGGGAAGGGTTCATCCAGACGGCGCCGCGCATGCGGGGCGGTCCGCGAACATCTCATCCGTGCACTAATTATATGTTATGCGTTCAAATCCTGGATCATGCTTTCAATGGCTGCCAGAATTTACGCGGTAATTTACGAGCTTTGCAAGGATAGCTTCCACAGTGGACCGTATTTGCTCAGGAAATACGAAAGCCTCACATCTCCTATGCAGCAGAAGTATTCGGAAAGAGTCAACCATAACGGCCGTCACTCGCCATGCCGTCGTGCACCATGATGAGTGTTGTGACCTACAAAACAGCTTCTAGACTCGACGGATGTGGTTTGATCGCATATATGATTGGCATTCAAACGTGCCATCTAGCCTCTCTATCGAGCTGGGATTTTCGCTTCTCCGACTACTATGGACCAGACCTGTCGTGGACAGGCACGAGTCGCCTTGAGACGGACTAGATGGATGGACACTCAGCCTAAAGTGGAGCCGGAAGAGGACGTACTGGAGAGAATGCTCTTGCTCGAGGTATGGCGGTGACAGACTCTACCACTGGTCCGCAAGTACGCCGACTGATGCGTGTTCCGGCGCAGGACCAGACCACAAGCTTCGTATCTATTCCCAAATTCGGAGATTGGAGCAGAAAGAAGATCCCATTTGGTAAACCTGCTTTTCGAAAACCAGGATGTCCTACAGCTATGCGACGATACCATTTTCTTGGCGATCAGACTCGTCGACAGATACAGCAGCAAAAAAGCTGTCCCTCAAGGGAGGCTCTACTTTTATTACGGTGTCTGTCTGCTGATCTCGAGCAAATACAATGAACGGAAGCTAGATAAGAGAGATTGGGTGCTGTACGGAGCCAAGGACTGGGACGTCGAGTCCGTGGAAAGAGACATCTTGGAAATACTCGAATACACGGTCGGTCGTCCCTTGCTAATCGAGTTCGCCTGGATGGGACTTCCTAAACAGGAGCGCACGAAGCAGACCATGGACATGGTCATGTACCTCTGTAAATTGACTCTGTTTGATCCAGGCATCGTACCAGTCCCATCTAATGTTGTGGCAAAATCTATTGTAGCTGCAGCTAGACTGGCTCTCAGACTGCCACCGAAGCCGATACTTACGGATGAAGCTCACTACGAGGTGGTTTGGCAAGTGCTGTTCCGTTTGTTCAGAGGACTTGAGCAACTTCCAAGAACACTCTTCGATGAGTACAAACGTCCTGAGAACTCATTTGTAGGGGTCATTCTGAATCATCGTTTATCGAACTTCAATATCCCATAGTAAAGCATGCTTACAGTCTATGTATCTTTGCCGACTGCAGACATCCCAAACAATACCCCAACCAGTGCATGAACATCTCGAGAATAGCGTTAAGGAGCACATTTTCATGGCACAACTGTGATCACTGCTGGGTGCTTGTGTTCAAAGCTATGAACGCGAAGCTTTCCAACCGGCCTGATTGCGGATTGGTCTGTGACACGAGGCTACCTGAAGACTATACTACACTTGAACCCTACCATGGTGGGAAACTTTCTCAACTGCCACATCAGACTGACCAGATCGATCTCGCTATGATTTGGACGAAGCTTGATGACATCTGTATGTCTCACAACAAGCGGAAACAATGCCAGATCGCTCGAGGTCAGTATAGGCAGCGTCAAAGCGGGCGCCCACAACCTGAGGTCATCCAGCATGTCTATCCAGGCGCTGTATGGGATCTTCCTTGCTGTCTTGTTTCTCGGAAGCTGCAGGATAAGCTTCGCACCAGGCCGTCTCCGTTTCAACGTGCCCAGGAATCTCTCCAGCCATTCCGAAGAGCAGGGTGATGTCTCTGGAGCTTCATTTCTCCCATCAAATGGTGCGCTCAACATCCAGATTCTGATAGGCCTCCTCTTTTGTGGTGCTGTTCTCGGCCAACCCCTAGTTCGACATAACATCAGAACCCTTTGGCGGCGCCTGCGATGGCCTGATCCCCTGAGTGATGAAGAGACAAGCGCGGATCTCCTGATTCTGCCCATATTTCTGGACAATCGCGACGTATGACATGGAAGCCACCGGGCAGAGAAGCCAAATCGTATGCAAGTCCCCGGCAATCAACGCTCTTTCAGGAGCACTGTGTGATCGAAGGTTCGTTTCGTGAGTGAGCAGCCACTACTGGTATCGCGAAGATAGTCATTAGATAAGACACTAGAGGTCGTTCGAAGACGAGACCGATGGCTTACATACAAGCTCGGCAGGCCAATGCTCCAGCTGCTAGGTTTCGGGTTGATACTCTCGCGGGAAGAGTTCTTCTGAGTCTAGCAGTGCACCGATTTTGTTGCATTGAAGTTGTCCAAGCGATCCGAGTGGCATATAGGAAACCACTGTAATCACCGAAACATTTCTCTCAATCACCAAATGAAGGAAGTTGTTGTGTATTGTGGTCTCTGATGATTGCGACCCACCTAAGGTTCTAATTTTACCCTCTGGCTAACACAGAAAGAGACCGATGAAGCGGGGCCTAGAAAGGTCGAGATTCGTCTCGTCGACAACCATGTAATGTAATCTATATATGGGCATTCTGTCAGGGTTTATGTACTCATCCGTCTGCATCCAGGCCAGGAAAGCTTGACCAATACAGCTGTCTGATGTGAATCCATTGACGAGGGTGACCATTCTGTGAAACACGAATAGTCCAGGGAAGTCATAAGACAATCTCGAGAACGCGTTCTCAGAAGAGTAACTTCAGCATCCAGATCTTGGTTTTGGCGAAGATTAACACACACACACACACACACACACACACACACACACACACACACACACACACACACACACACACACACACACACACCCGTAATCGATTCAAACAGTGTGTCGACCTTAGAATACCCTATCGTCATCTTGTGCACGACATGCCATTATACGCGTGTCTCGGAGGTTCTGACTCAACTGAAGAGCAAAACTTCGAGGCAAGTGATAATCTAAAGTGGTAGGAGATTGATTGAATCGCCCCGAGTACTGATCTCGAGTTAGCCATTCGGTAACTTATGCTGACGAGCGTGTTTTCTCAGACTGTTTCTTCTGATGTCCGTCTGCTGGAAAGATCTACAAGACCCCCTGCAATGCACTCTATCTCAGTGGGGTGACTTTGGCTCAAGTGTGGAGCGTGATATCAACGAGAGAACACAGCGGTAGATATTTAGTGCCTCTCTGAAGATCCTCCAACTTCTAGCACCAATCAAAAGCCCAATGTGTGTTCTGGACTTGGGAAAAGATGAATTCCTTAGCTCGTGGACGACTGTGAGTTCGACGTGGAGCGGAAGAATTTCACACCCTCTGCAATCTTAGACTCCCCCGGGTAATCGGATCACCAGATTGCATTCGTCGACTTCGAGGCACAACCTTCGTGTGGACGGCCCTACCACAGCGCTGGATCTCTCGCATATACTTCGGGAGAGCCGGTGTACGTGCCACAGAACTTGATAGAGATGTGCAAGCCACAGTCTCAGTCTTCCAACTCGAACGACTTACCGACCGAGATGTTGCTTCGAATTTTGGATTGCATCCCACCTTTCTTCCGGGCATGCGCACTCCCACTTCTCAGCCGAAGAATGTACCAGCTTGAGAAGCGGTTCTGGATCGACTGTCGCCCGACGCGTTCTAGTGAAAGTTCGTGTTCGAAGAAAGGATTTGCACAGCGCTACTTTTGCCTCAAACCTGGCTTACAGAGAGCTTTGAGAAACAATACCAGCATGATCCCGCTGCAAACGGTGCTCATTCCAAGCAGTTATGTTGCTTTGTCGCACCTGCTCCTTTCCGAAGCGTCGGAAGCTCGGCAACAGAACACCAAAACGTTGGAAGGCATATGTCGAGCCCTTGCCAATGTTTGCTGCAGCACAAGTCTCCCGGACAATGCGATGCAATTCAGGAATGCGACAAAGGCGCAGACACGGACCCGTGATACGCTTATGGTACACATCGTGGATGCTGTTGGAGCTGTGGTCAAAGTGAAGTCGCGCAACCCACAGCCAACATCTCAGATCTTCACTTGACACGCTTCATGTTCCGAAGCACAGATGATGCTGTGCGCGCTGTTTGCGAGGCTTTGGAATGGTGAGTGTTCTTGCCTTGATAAAGGCATGAGCAAAGTAGGCCAGCCGTCAACTTTGTTGGGGTCCGAGCACAGTCTGTCAAGCGCGTTGTTGTCTCCAGGAAGCGGCGTCCGGCTCTGCACAAGCTCTTGAGAACTTCGTAGTGCCGCGCCCCTCGAAGTGCCGCACGCAGCGCACGTCGCATTGAGTTCCCGCACCTGTTCGATGATCAAAACAACTATGCGACAGCCACTTCTCAACAATGGGTCAACGCGAGACTGCTACATAGTAGATGCTCCAAGAGCTCAACGTCGGCCTCTGCGCATCGATTCGAGCGGCTGGTCACGCGCACAACGTCCCTGAACGAAGCATTCGTCCCCGGCTCGCTAAACGACAAGATTCACGTACCGCGTACGCTCACGAACAGCGACTACAACTACGACGCGAAGAGTACTGACCACCTCGAACAAGAGGCTCAAGGCTCCCCCTTTCGTCTGTGCGTGCTCGCTGAGCGGCGATTCGAGCTCTTCGACTCAACGGCGACCATGAGCCACTTGGCAAGAGATGGATGGGTCAGCATGTTCACACGAGCCAGTCCACGCGTTGCCTTGAGTATCGGAAGGTCCACTGAGGCTGCTCGTATCAGCGGCATGCATCCTGACTCGATTCACGGGTTCTAGACAGCGTACGGGCGAGTTCTTGATTGAAGCCCTCGCTGCAAAGAAGCAAGAACGAGTGTGTACTGATCCTTACACCAAATCTGTGCGTCTTGACCACAAAATCGCAGCCGATCGAGCAGTTGAGCCCATGGAAGCAAACGCGGCTTCGATCGAGCCACTCGTATTGCCTAAATAACTACGTGATATCTAATTGACCAGGACTACGAGGAACTCAAATTACAGAGCTATCCAGTGATGTTGTGGTAGTATACAGCACTCAGAGGTTGTGCGCTGATCCCCACAAAGTGCGGCACTTCGAGGCGTGCGGCATTACAGGGGCCCCCGAGCTTAGCGCGACCCCCGCGGTTCTTGTCAGCTAGTGTGATCAGTCGTAGATAAATTACAGCGTCCGGGAGGACAAACAATGCGGCACTACCGTATTGCGATATCTACCGGCGACCAATCCTACTCTTTTCTTTACACTTCTACCGCACAAGAAGATCTGCCTTGGATGAAAGTACGATGCGGTCGGGTGCTCCAAGAAGACTGCGGTACAGGCATTTGTGCACTTGGGCTCACAAAAGCGCTGGATAGTATTGGTACAAGCGGTCATGGTATCGTGGTGATTTGACAAAGGCTTCATAGTGGCACATTTCAAAAACAAGGTGATTGCCCTCGTCAGGTGTCTGTATATTGCTATTCAGTCTTGCTACCTTCATCGTTGGTGCATCGTTCTTGCTTATCTATTGTCAGCTCACGTTCACGGATTCGATTGCCATGGATGCTAATGGATTCGCTTCGTTATTTGTTGGTTTTCTCAGAGAGAAGCCAAAGGTGCATGCAAGATACCTGGAAGTCAAGCTGAAGAGCGAGAAGGAGCTATGCCAGTAGGTCTACCGTCTTCATGGTGATTCCAGCTTTCCAGGGCAACAGCTCACGAAACATAAATAGGAGACTCGGATTGGATGACCATACTTCCTCCAAGGTCGCGGATGCAGCGTTTCCTTACTTCGCTTCGGTGATGCTCCCAGATTGTGACTACCCAGAGCTTGAAGTTTGCTCCAAATGGATGATTTGGGTGAGTGAAGATGGCGAGGGCACACTGGATCATCCTGGCTTGGTAGCTGACTTCTCAGATATTCCTGTTCGATGACGGTGTGTAGGATGGCCATGGTCATGCTTCACGACTGACTAATTTTAGAATTCGACAACGGTCATCTTCGGTATGACTCCCATGCCGCCAAAGCGCGACTAGACAAGCTCAGAGCGACGATGGCAAACGAACCGTCTGAACATGAATCCGATGGGATGATGCGTATACATCTCGAGATCTGGAATGCGATTAAGCAAAAGGTTTATCCCACTATCCATGCCATTGTTAAGCATACTAATCAGGAACAAGGATTCCTTCAATGGAGGAATGTTGGCCCAGATCAGATACCGTAAAGCCATGAACGGTTACTGTGACGGTGTACTTGAGCACGTGCGAAGTAGCAGCAGACAAGAAGTGCCCACACCAGAGGAATATTTGGAAGTGCGAAAGCTCTCGTCTGGGTGCGAGCCGCCCTATGCACTAGTTGAGTATGCGTCAATCTAGAAGGGATACAGCATAGCGGGACCTGACCCGGTCTAGATACGCCTATGGACTGGAACTGTCTGATGACCAAGTTTGTGAGCCTTCGATCACAAAACTCAAAGATGTATCTACCAGAATAGCTCTCCTGTAAGTGTCGTGGCGGATGGTGCCTATACCATCAGAATCTAACGATCTCGCAGGCACAATGACATGATATCATGGCGAAAAGAAAAGGTGAGTGATGACCACATGATGTTGGTCATTTAAGCCTAATGTTCGATCTGTAGATTGAAAAAGTACTTCACAACTACATCAACACACTCATCAAACAAGGCTTTAGCGAAAAAGATGCATCCGCAATCATGCTAGACATGGTCGTGGCGGAGCACCAAAAGCTCTCCGACTGTCTCGAAGATCTTGCTACAGGGAAGATTACTGAACACCATAAGATGGATATCGAGAGCGTTCCGCGAATTCCCCTTGCGAACCTGTATTGGAGGTAAGCTCAAAGGACTCCAGAAGTATGCAGATTGTTATTGAAATTTCAGTTTTGAATCTGGGCGCTACGTCCAGCCACTTTGCCAAACGGAAGAATTGATGAACAAACGTCTCCATCTCGGAGAGCTTCATCAACATGAGATACGTAGAAACAGCGCCATGCTGTAGATGTTCTAATGGACACAGGTGCCTACATATGCTTGTGCTTCTCTGGTTTGGTTAGCGGTTCTGTCAATAGCTTGGCAAGGACGGCAATATTGCTCAGCTGTTCATTCCTACCAGAGAGTTGGACCTGTATTGCTGCACTGTGGCAAAATAGACAAGACATCAGAACTAGCAAGATCTATAGCGTTCGACACATCTGACTCCAAAAACCAGAACGCTCCAAGCTTTGTTGCACGTCCTATTCCGCATAAACTAAATAATCGTGATACTCGATCTTGATCCTGAGGGGTGAAGCGGGTGTTTCAAACCTGGTGGTCCTACGAACTACCTTACTGCTCTATCATACCATACGTGGAGGCCGCAGCGGCACTACTGCTCTTCCTGTTCGCAAGTTTCTCGTTGACACTATCATCTATGCAGGTCATGCTCGCTGCACCAACAGAAACTCTGCGCTTCCCAAGCTTCGGCGCCGCCGCCGCGACAATCATGAGCCGGGCATACTGGGTGTTCTCGCTAGTCGTCATACTGCTTTCATTGCTGAGCTGGACATTACTAGTTGGCGTGCCTCTAGGCATCTTCGTCTGGCAGCTTGCGTATGGATTCTCATCTAGGAAGAA